CGAGAGAGAGAGAGAGAGCGAGAGAGAGAGAGAGAGCGAGAGAGAGAGAAAGAGAGAGAGAGAGAATCCAGTTTTCCCGCGCTCGCCAGACAGAGCAGCCGAGATCTTGCCCAATTACACACACACGCGCACGCACGCGCGCACGCACACATCAGCCCGCGGTGACTCACGCGCACCGCTATGCGTGGAATGTCGTCCCCTTTTAAATTGTCGGCTGCGCTGCGCTGTGCTGCGTGAGCGCGCGATTAAAGACTCCGCCCTACTACTGTTGCTGAAGAGTTCCTCCTCGGCGGCGGCCGCTGCTGCCGCTGATGATGATGAATATATATCGTGATTAATCCATGGGGAGCGTGTGATCTTACTGGCGCGTGAGAGAAGGTGAGAGGGAGGGAGAGGGGGGCGAAAGGGAGGGAGATAGATAGAGAGGAAGAGCGAGAGGGGGCGAAAGGGAGGGAGATAGATAGCGAGGAAGAGCGAGAGAGGGCGAAAGGGAAGGAGATAGGTAGCGAGGAAGAGCGAAAGGGAAAGAGATAGATAGCGAGGAAGAGCGAGAGATCATATGAGAGAGAGAGATAGAGAGAGCGCGAGCCTAGAGAGACAGAGAGATTGCGAGCAAGGGAGGTAAAGCGTGAGAGAGAGAGAGAGAGAGAGAGAAACTAGATCTGCGTGCTTGTAAAACTAAGGGGAGTTGCTTCACCTGCCAGCCGACCCGCATCGCTCCCTATTAGACATGTGTGACCTTTGTAACTTTCAAACTCATATAAAGTTTCTGCGCGGCGGCGGCGGTGGTGGAGGTTGGAGGAGCAGTGAAGTGTTGCTGCTGCTGCTGCTGCTGCTGTTGCTGCTGCTGCTACTACTACTGCTACTGCTGCTACTGCTACTGCTGCTGCTGCTACTGCTACTGCTGCTGCTGCTTCTACTACCACTGCTGCTGCTTCTACTACCACTGCTGCTGTTACTGCTACTGCTGCTGCTGCTTCTGCTGCTGCTGTTGCATTCGTTGCTTGCATCCCAGCCCGCGCGCGTATATCGCATATCGCCGGCGCTGGAAAACTAAAAATAGCCATCGCGGATCGCTGCCACGGGAAAACTATATAGCGTCCCTTAATTGGGAATGGCCCCTGACATGGGCTCGGGAATTTTTGCCTCTGGCCGGCGGGGGAAACTGGGAAGTTGCCCACTGAGTTTGTTTGTGTTTGTCGGTCAGCCGAGGACAGGATATGGGTCTCGTGTTTCTCTTCGGCAAAGAAATGGGGGAGGAGATGAGATTGGGATGCGGAGGGGTGTGGGGGTGGGGGGAGGATGCGCACGTGGCGGTGGGTGTCGCCCTAGCAACGCCGCATCCGGCCCCCGCGCGTTCAGCGTCCGTAATATAGATGCCATCACACGTCGCCGAGGAAGTTGTTAGCAGCAGCAGCAGCAGCAGTAGCATCAACAGCAGCAGCAACAACAACAACAACAACAACAACAACAGTAGCAGCAACAACAACAACAACAACAGCAGCAGTAACAGCCGCAAGCGAGCGAGAGAGAGAGAAAGAATGAAAGAGAGAGAGAGAGAGCGAGAAAGAGAGAAAGAGGAGGGCCATACGTGGTGTGACTCACACAGCGGACTAGGACTACTATCAGTCTATCAGTAGCACTCCCCTCTCCATCCATCGAACTGTTTACAGTAAACGCCTGTGCCTGGTACGACTCACTCATGTCTCTGTCCACACCCCAACGTGGACAGAAAGTGAGAGCGAAAGCATGACAGAGAGGGAAGGGGGAGGGAAAGGGAGGGGGAGAGAGGGAGAGAGAGCTCTGAGCATCTGTATATAGCCTGGCCTTCAGTCGGGGAGTAACCCACCTCATTATCCTTATTGCCGCTCCAGCAGTTGAACACACCCCCTAGTGTACGGATCACTGGCGTAGCCCCACGCGTTAATTACGCTGTGCCCTATGCACGTCTATATATGTGCCTGTGTATGTGTGTGTTCCCCCCCTCCTCCCCCTCTCTCATTTATTTGCGTGACCTCATTCGGAACTGGCCGCTGCATTTGCATGCTGTATGGTTGGAGATGGTTGGTCAGCTTATTATGGCCTGTACTAATAACCTCTTGTGTGTGCGCTTGCGCTTGCGCCTGCGCGTGGTTCTGTTTCCTCCCTGAAGGGGGCGCGCATGGCGAGCGAGCGTGTAGAGTGGTCATCACTTGTGCTGTGTGATTGCGAATCATGGAATGTGGTGTTAGTTTTTCTGCTGCTGCTGCTGCTTGTGCGGTGGGTTGCGGGGGTTGTGTGTTAGCCAAGTGGTTCTTCTTCTTCTTCTTCCTCCGCTTCCTCCTCTTCATCCTTCTCCTCATCCTCCTCCTCCCCATCCTCCTCCCCATCCTCCTCATTCCTCTACTCCTCCGTGGTCGTGCTAGGTCCCTCTCCTCCTCCCCATCCTCCTCCCCATCATCCTCCCTCCCCATCTTCCTCATTCCTCTACTCCTCCGTGGTCGTGCTAGGTCCCTCGCCTCCTCTCTAGTGGAGTTACATTTTTCATCATCGTGCAACTGGGTTTCTTTCTCGTGCGACTCGATTCCCGCTTGCGTGCACGTGGGTTCTCCCCCTCTCGTGCGTGCTACTTCCCCCCCCCCCTAGAGGAGCTATATTTCCCACGTCTGGGCTGGCTGCTCCAGCGTCCAGGCCTCCTGCTGCTGGGCAGGCCCTGTTGTTTTATCGGCTAGTTTTTCCCGTCAGCCTTTGATTTGATTAGTCACGCCTGGCTTTGGTGTGGTGGGGAGAGGGGGGGGGGAGGTGGCGGGATTGCATTTGAAGGTCGAATGCGGGCTGCCCACCAGGTGGGTGGCATGGAGGGGGGAGTGCTACTGGGTGCCTGGTGGTGCTAGTGAGATAGCGTGCGCAGCTGGTTGTGGCTACTGTGTAACCGCTAGCCTGACCCCCCATCTCCCCCTCCCCCTCCCTCCCCCTCCTTGCTTTCATTGTCTGCTGGCGGGTACTGGGCAGTGTCAGGCTATAAAATGTGCACCGCTTGGTAGCGATATCAGAACTGTCTGTCTGGCAGATTCGCCCAGATCGGAGATAAGGGGGAGGATGGATGGATAAAACACGTGTGCTGTTGATGTCATAGGTGTTTTATGATAGCGGATAGGACAAGCGCCCCTCCCTCTCTTTGTCTCTCTCTCTCTCTCTGTTTGTCTCTCTCTCTCGCTCTCTCGCTCGCTGTCGCTTTCTCTCTCTCTCTCTCTCTCTCTCTCTC